CTCGGTACAGCTTTGGAGGATGAGAGTGAAAATGGTGGCCTCCCAATCTCTGCCTGGAGGAGCCGAGAACTCGGGGCCCGCTCCTCAGTGCGTCCCCAGAGAAAAGCAAATACTCCCATCTCCCAGGTCTCCGGCTGCACTCCGTGCTCACCCGGCCTGTGACTGAGCGTTTCTGTCTCTGGCACCCGACCCTGTGTGGAGTCTCCAAACCCAGCAGATCCCCGCGCCGCTCCTCCCAGGGGAGGAAGGGGAGTCTCCCCGGATCTGCCGCTTGTTGGGTCCCTGCTAGAGGAGCAGTGGCCCGACTGTCACCGATCACAGTTTATGGCATCCCCGAGCTGAGAGCCCGCGTCTCAGCTCCATCTCTGCAGCCGGCTTCCCTGCTCTGATACCCAGGAGCTCTGCCGCACTCAGGCACCCCCGGTCTTTCTGTGACCCCGAGGGTCCTGAGACCACACTGTCCCACGAGGGTTCCACACCCCGCTTAGCCACTGGAGCGATATCCCTCAGCGGAGCCCACTTCTAAAATTTCCGATTTTGTGCTCGGTGGCTCTATCACTTGCCAGAAGCAGCGGGCGGGCTCCACCCCCCCGCCATCTATCCTCCCGAATATTGCCTCAGACTCACTTCTCCACACGTCCTACTTTCCAGTAAGTGGTCGCTTTTCTGTTCAGAGAGTTGTTGCTATTCTTTTCCTTGATCTCCTGTTGAGTTCATAGGTGTTCAGAGTGGTTTGGTCCCTATCCAGCTGAATTCCTGAGACCAGACGAAATCCAGGTCTCCTACTCCTCCGCCATCTTGCTCCGGTTGGGCACAGGGAGCCTTTTTTATAGACCTTTGTGAGAAGCCAGGGTATGAAGCCTCTGAGGTCTTTTGGATACCCGAGACTTCTCGAGGTTGCTTCATAAGACACATGCGTCACTCTGAGGGGGATGAGCCACGAAGCCACCGAGGGAGACCAGTTGATGGGCTCACATGCATTTTTGTGGGTGGGTAGTAGATATGGCCACGCTGGAAGGTTGGACTGTGAAGCCCTCCCAAGAAGGCTGTTCATTAGGCCAATACAAGACATTTACAAATCTTCTAGGAGGCCAGAGCTAGAAATCATCCTGGCAGGTGAGAGCCAGGCCACTCGAGGCTCTCAGTCCCATCATTCATTGGAGGCCCCGCTGGGAGGGATACCCCTTGTGCACCAAGGACCAAGCTAGGAGACAAAGGTCCAAAAACGGATTCAGTCCTCACCCCCGAAGCCAAAGAGTGTTCTGCATAACACTACCACGTACTGTGTAGTTTTGGACAAGTTGCTTAATCTCCCAAATCTTTGTTCATATCTGTAGGACCACACATCATGAAATTAGGAGGAATATATTAGGTAATCTACATAAAACATGGAACATTGACACGGCACATAGGAAAGTCACTTCATTTTTCCCTGGACTTTAGTTCCTTCATCAGCAAAAGAGGATGGGTTTGTGGGGAGAATGGTCACATACTTCCCTATCCACTTAACGGCCCCAAGAGGTACAAATCAAAGGAGAGGGAGAGGAAAAGTGGGGGAACTGTGGAAAGACGGCAGGACTGAGAACAACTCTCTGGTATTGCTGCAGCTTGAGGACACACCCAGGAAGAGGTACTTCAAACATAATGACACACAAGAAAGATGGGTCCTTTCCTTCTGTGAAGTGATGGGATTTTCTCATCTGTTAAGTGGGAATAATAACTCCTCCTTTACAGATTTTTCTTGAGTTAAGCAACCCAGACTCCCAGCTTCATCGTGGGCTGGCTGGAGATGGCATGGCTCCGTTCCTTCACCTGTAAGATCATGGAAGTGGGGGCCAGACGGCCTGAGTTTTAAATCTCTGGATCACCTCTTCCCAGCTGAGTGCTTTGGACAAGTCATTTAACTTCTCTGCTTTAGCTTCCTTACCTGTGAAATGGGGATGATGATACTTTGTTAGAGTTTCTGTAAGAATTAAAAAGCCCCTGGAGCATACCTGGCTTACAGTAAATACCCCAGTATGTTCTTGGTGTCACAAGGTCATTATGAGAGTTGGTGAGGTAATCATGCAATACTGTCAGTATTCTACTTGCTGTTACTCATGAGTTGGGGAGAAATGAGCTAACATGGAGCCCAGAGGTAGGGATGGGGCTGTCCAGCCTGCCTTTAGGGACCATACCTCTAGCATTCATATGTCTTCACTTCCCTGTCTACTGCTGACTTCTTCATACACATTGGTACTAAAGGAAGCCATGCTTTTTCTTCCTGTTCTATTGGGTGAGTTACAGTTGAGTCCCAGAGGGTCAGGGAAATCTGGATAGGGGTGTTTATTAGTTATCTACTGCTGTACAACAGATCACCATAAACTTAGTTGCTTAAAACAACACATATTAGTTTCTTTGGGTCAAGAGTCTGGGTGTGGCTTAGATGGGTCCTGTGCGGCAGCAACCTCTTTGACCTCAGCCACAGCAACTTCTTCCTAGAAACATCGCCAAAGGCAAGGGAAGCAAGGGCAAAAATGAACTATTGAGACCTCATCAGGATAAAAAGCTTTTGCACAGCAAAAGAAACAGTCTACAAAACCAAAAGACAACCAACAGAATGGGAGAAAATATTTGCAAATGACATATCAGATAAAGGGCTAGTATCCAAAATCTATAAAGAACTTAAACTCAACACCCAAAGAACAAATGATCCAATCAAGAAATGGGCAGAAGACATGAACGGACATTTTTCCAAAGAAGACATCCAAATGGCCAACAGACATGAAAAAGTGCTCCACATCGCTCGGCATCAGGGAAATCCAAATCAAAACCTCAATGAGATACCACCTCACACCAGTCAGAATGGCAAAAATTAACAAGTCAGGAAATGACAGATGTTGGCGGGGATGTGGAGAAAGGGGAACCCTCTTACACTGTTGGTGGGAATGCAAGCTGGTGCAGCTACTCTGGAAAACAGTATGGAGGTTCCTCAAACAGTTGAAAATAGAGCTACCATATGATCCCACAATTGCACGAAGGTCGCTATTTCTTGGTATCCAATGAGATAGGGGATATTAACAGCTATTAGTACACCTAGCGCATAGCGGCACGGGTGAGTAATCGATTGCGGGCAATTATGAACCCGCTAGAACCTACTCACATATTAGTACTTCTGCATTAGGACCGGCCTGCCATCCATATAGAATGCCACCAAAAGCACCAACTATGATGTTTGTCCTTTCTCTGTAGGTTTTATGTATTTCCAGGTTTCTTCCTGCGAAGCTAAGATCTCATCCTTCAGGAGCCTTCACTGAGTGCCTACTGTGAGCCAGACTCCAGGGAAACGTAGAGAAATGAGACCTGTTCTTGCCCTGGAGAAGCTCCCCAGCTAGCATCAGAGAGACAGACATGTAGGCCAGTACTCAGAGTACATTTGGGACAAGAGCAGTTAAAGAAAGTCAAGAGCTATTCCAACACAAAATACTGTCAGAGGGTCTTGGCAGGTTTCCCATAGGGGATCATTGAGGGTGGGCCTTAAATGTTGGATAGGAGTTTGCCAGAGAGGCGGGGTGTCAGAGGCATTCCAGACAAGGGCAGTACCTGTTCCTCTCTGAGCAAACATTTATCCGGCGCCCACGGCGAGCCTGGTCTTGTGCCAGGCCCCCAATGTAGCAGTGACCCCAGACAGACGAGGGCCCTGCACGCAGAGTTAATGTCCCGCCGAAGAAGGCCACTGTAGAATCATGACCCATGGGATGCTGTCAGAAAGGACACATGTGAGAAACTGTGGGAACCTGGAAGGGAGGAAGTCTGTGTGGTCTCTCTGTCTGGAAAATAACTTTATATAGTTTTTACTTTTATATTTTATCACTTTTTAATTTTTTAATTATTTTATTTTTTTCATCATGATAAGTGCACTCCTTAATCCCCATCACCTATTTCACCCATCCCTCCCTCCACTCCCCTCTGGTGACCATCAGTTTGTTCTTTTTAGTTAAGAGTCTGCTCCTTGGTTTCTCTCTCTCTCTCTCTCTCTCTTCCTTTGTTCATTTGCTTTGTTTCTTAAATATCACATGAGTGAGATCATATGATAATTGTCTTTCTCTGACTTATTTCACTTAGCATTATACTCTCTAGCTCCATCCACATCATTGCAAATGGCAAGATTTCATTTTTTATGGTTGAGTAATATTCTCTCTCTCTCTCTCTCACACACACACACACACACACGCACACACACATCATATCACATCTTTATCCATTCATCAATCGATGGACACGTGAGCTGCTTCCATAGGTCCCCTGTTGTAAATAATGCTGCAATAAACAGGGATGCATGTATTCCTTTAGTGTTTTTGTATTTTGGGGGTAGATACCCAGGAGTATGATTACTAGGTTGTAGGGTAGTTCTATTTTTAATTTTTTGAGGAACCTCCATACTCTTCCAGGGTGGCTGTACCAGTTTGCATTCCCACCAACATGGAAATGGACGAGGGTTCCCCTTTCTCCGCATCCTCACCCACACTTGTTGTTTCTTGTGTTGTTGATCTTAGCCATTCTGACAGGTTGAGGTGAAATCTCATTGTAGTTTCGATTTGCATTTCCCTGATGATGAGGGATATTGAGCATCTTTTCATGTGTCTGCTGGCCATCTGGATGTCTTCTTTTGGAGAAATGACTGTTCATATCTTCTGCCCAATTTTGAATTGGGTTATTTGTTTTTTGAGTGTTGAGTTGTGTCGGTTCTTTATGGATTTTGGATCCTAACCCTTTTTGGATATGTCATTTGTAAATATCTGCTCCCGTTCCATAGATTGCGTTTTAATATATATCTTTTAAACTCTCGGTGGTTGACATTTTGGCCACTGGATGTCATCACAGATCTAGCTCCCCACCGGTCCCAGTTTGATTTTATGAAAATCTACAAATGTGCATATTTAGGTGTGCAGCACAGTGTTTTGCTCTAACTGTTCTTTCTTTCCCCACCACCTTTATCAGGCTAGGCTGGCAGAGGGCCGATGGCCGAAGACAACCGAGAGCCCCCGGCAGGAGCCGGCACCCTCCGAGAGGCCCTCCGGGCGCTCCTGCCCCACAGGAAGGAGGAGCTGGTGCCAGAGCTCGGGGAGAAGGTAGAGCGCAGCGTGGTGCAGCTCCTGTGGGAGGCCGCTGAGCTGTTCTGCGGGGGCCGCCGGAGCGAGTGTCTGCAGGCCAGTGAGGCCATCCTGGACTACTCCTGGGAGAAACTCAACACGGGTCCGTGGCAGGACGTCCACAAGGACTGGCGCCGCGTCTACGCCTTCGGCTGCCTCCTGAAGGCGGTGTGTCTGTTCGAGGAGCCTGGGGATTCCGCCGCAGTGGCCGCGGCCCTGAAGGCCTGTGACATGGGCCTGCTGATGGGGGCGGCCATCCATGGGGACATCCTCATTAAAGTCGCCGCTGTCCTCCAGGCTCACCTCCCCTCAGCAAAGAGGCCCGGCCCAGGCCTGGCCGAGGAGCAGCCCAGCATGAAGGTATCTAGGTGGGATTGTTGCCTGCCACACCTTACATGCCCCCACAGCCCTGTTTTTTCTAGAAGGGAGGAGTCAGCTGTCCCCAGGGTTGAGACCTCACAGCGTGCTGACCTCTGGCAGAAAATAGAATCTTGGTGGATTTAGAAATGGAACAGCCTGGTCTGTTTTCTCAGTTTTCCCCTCCACTTTCTGCAAAAGCAGTGCCCTTTCAGGAGAGAGGGAGGGTGGAGGCTCTGTGGCCGCCGAGAGCGGCAGCTCAAAGGGCTCGTGTGGGCCAGAGCTGTGGGCAGCTGTAGCATGCGCCTTCCGGCCTGTTCTTGGTCAGCTTGCTGAAGTGTCACCCACTTTCCCGGCTCCCTCGCTCTCGGTGCTGCGGAGTTAGGGCGAGCTGCTACCTCCAGCAGCCTCCTGGTCCCATGGCTGGTTGGTCCCGCCCTTGAGGTCCTGGCATGGGGGGGTTCTTGGTACTTGGGGGTGCGAAGCACACCGCGCAGACCTGAGGGCGGCGGCAGACGGTGTCAGGCCCCAGCGCTGGTGTGCAGCCCTCAGCCGCAATACCTCTGAGCATGTCTGGTTGCCAGGAGGAAATAGGTCTGTGACACAGGCATGTGGGAAAATGTTCCATCTCACCTGTGGTTTAAAAAAAAAAAAAAAGGCAAGAACGGGGAGGCAGCCATTGTTGGCTGTGAAATCCTCAAAGGAGGTTTCCTGTGATACGCGGTGCTGCCAAGGACGCCAGGGGGCCACAGGCATGGCGTGTTGGTTGACCTTTCAGGGGGCAGGGCAGACATGCCTGTGCCCTTGGACCCAGGGGTTGCACTTCTCTTTCCCACGCCAAGTCTGTCCCAAGGGAACATGGAGGTGGCCCTGCACCCAAGGTGGTGCTTCCGGCGTGGGCGGCGTTGGGCAGTGTGTGTAGCTGAAGGGGGAGAGCTCATGCTCTGGAGTCGGCCTGCCGGAGTCGGCCAAGGGTCTGGGCCCCTCAGTGTCCCCATTCCCGGGCCTATAAAGGGGGGGTTTGCTCGGCGGCTCTCTGGAGCCCAGGTGGTGGTCCAGATGTGCCAGGCGCTGAGGGTACGATACGGAAGGGCCCGTTCTCCTGGAGCCTGGGTTCTAGGAGGCTGTAGAAGTACGTCTTCTCTCGCACGGTGAGAAAGGTGGGGAGGCAGCTTCGCTCACATAGGGTGGTCAGGGAGGCCTCTTTGATGAGGGCAGGTGTGACAACCAAAGCAGAGGGTATATAGGCCGAGAACAGGCACGTGGGAGGCCTCGCGCCCGGCTTGCAGGGACAGAGGGAGCGGACCCCCCACCCACCGGTGATCCTGGGCACTCTGCGTGGGAGGTCTCCTCTCCCAATAATGTGACAGGTGAGGAAACTGAGGCCCGAGGGAGTGACTGGCTCAGGTCACTTGGCTGACAGGTGGTTGAGGAAGTTCTGGCGCAGGGGCTCCCACGACCTTGCCGGGGCTATGACCTGCTTTAGCTGGGCTGCCCGTCCCGCACGTCCCTGCCGGGCGCCAGAAGCTGGGCCAGGAACACGTCACGGGACAGGGTCCTTTGACACCAGATGGCGTTTGGGGTGGTGACTTTTCCTCTCTTGTGGAGTTTCTGTATGTTCTTTTTAAAAGCAAACAGACCCTTGAACTGGTAAAGAAAAAAGTCTGGGTGTCTCCAGCATGAAAAGGAGGAGGGGGACGCAGGGACAGTGCCAACGTGTACGGCGCTGTCATCAGTAACGGAGTCAGCTAGCCTGCGGGGACGCAGACGCCCAGCCCAGTGCCTCAGATGGTAACTTCTCGGCGCTTTGATTTTAAACAGAAAGCGAGGGACGACTGTGTTTCGGTTCCGGATGTGGCATCGGAGAGACTGGTCCCCCGGCTTCGCTGTCCGTCCCTCCAGCATTTCAGGAAGCAGTTTCTGGTTCCCGGGAGGCCTGTGATCCTGGAAGGCGTGGCGGACCAGTGGCCGTGCATGACGAAGTGGAGGTGGGTGGCTCTGCCCGATCCAGCCCCCCACCCCCACCCGGGGACTCCCCGATTCCATCTCCCTTCGTCCCAAGGAAATGCAGCCTCGCATGCGTGTCCCGACTGTGCCTGCATAGATCACTAGGGGTTAACCGGGGATTACAGGTGCAGTGCTCCAAGTTCGTGGCAGAGACGGAAAGGTCCATACTTCCACAGCTCACTGCTCTAAGCAGGTTCTAGTGAGTGCTCGCCTTGTGCGGCGTGAAGTCTGTTAAAGCCATTTTGCTTGATCTGAGGTGTTCCCTGGACCTTCCCAGGGCCCTGAGGCCTAAGAGCAGAAGTAAGAACCCGAGACACGGCCCCTCCCCTGCAGGCAGGTCTCCTGGGCCTGCTTCCTCCTCCCATCTGCTCAGATTCATGGTGGTGACAGCAGGTCGGGCCGCTGAGCGGTGGCTGGCATGCCGAAGCTGCGGAAAGGAGCAGGGGTCTCTGAGGACGACAGATTGGCTCCCCTGTCTCCTGTGGTTCGTGGACGGAGTAGTTCCCGCCAAGGCCGTGTGAAGAGTACCGGCCGCAGGGGCCATCGTCCCGCAAATGTTCATTACGGGTCTTACTACGGGCCAGCCGCCATGATCGGCTCGTGCCATGTTTTCTTTCTCTGTCCTCCCAGTTCCCATCCCATGGGACAGGTACCGTCATCACCCTAGCTTACCAGTGGGCAGAGGTCCCCGGCCGGCCACGGGCAGGGCCAGGCTGCCCGAGCTCAGAAGCCAGCGGCCCTGCTGTGCTGTCTGCTGTTTGCTCAGACGTCTCTGAGCTCAGAGACAAGGTGAGCAGAGAGAGAACTGGGATGCTTTCAGCCAGCCCGGCGATAGAACCGCCCAGCGAGAAGCTTGGCAAACCAGCCTCACTGGATCTCTCTGCAAAGCCATGTGGCGCCGGTGGGCATGTCACCCCACATGTCGGTGCCCGAGTGCCCCCCGCCGGTGAAGAGGGGGTAACAGTAGTCTCTCCCCTTGGGGCTGTGTGGAGACCAGAGGAGACCAGTGTGGCCGAGTGCCCGGCAGGTCTTAGCCAAAGCGACAGTGGTGACTGTACGCATCTGTCTCCTAGTTTGGAGTATATCCAAGACATTGCCGGCTGCCGAACTGTCCCGGTGGAAGTCGGTTCCAGGTACACGGACGAGGACTGGTCGCAGACGCTCATGACGGTCGATGAGTTCATCAGCAGATACGTCAGGAGTGAGGTATGTCGTCGTGCCTCCTCCCCTGCAGCGTTTACGGGGGGAGCTTGCAGGACATCTGGGCGCTGTAGGACGAGGGTCTGGAGGGGCTGGTAGGGCGGCCAGAGTGAGGAAGGCCAGCTGCAAGGCACGCGGAACGCTGACTCTTTTCAGGTCTTTTTTTTTTTTTTTTTTTTTTGGTACAATTCAGTGGTTGGTTGGTTTGTTTTTTAGTGTCTTTCTAAGATTTTGCACCCATCCCCACTATCTAATTCCAGAACATTCTCATCACTCCCCAAGAAATGCCATAGCCATGAGCAGTCACTTCCTCTTCTGCTACAGACAACCCCTAATCTGCTTTATGTTTCCATGGATTTCCCAATACTGGACTTGGTATAGAAACGGAATTGGACAGTCTGTGGCCTTCTGTGTCCGGCTGCTGTCGGCACTATGCTCTCGGGGTTCCCTGCTGTGGCTGGGTGATATCCCGGGGTGTAGACACTCCGCATTTTGTTTATTGTCAGCTGATGGCTGGTCAGGTGGTCTACACTGGCTGGTGTGAAAAGTGCCACTGGGAACGTTCCCATCCACGTTTCTCTGTGTGGTTGTCTGTTTTCGTTCCTCTCGTGTATATACTAGATGCAGAGTCGCTGGGTCACAAAATGTTTGACCATTTTGAGGAACTGCCAGATGGTTTCCAAAAGCAGCTGCACTGTGTTCTCATGTCACATTATTCACAGTAAAGGCTGGGGGTGGCTTCCCCTTCCTGAGGCCCAAACCGTTCCTCTGGGCTCAGAAGGGAAGCCTGCACGCGGCGCATGGACCCTTATGGGGAGGGGACGTCCACCCAGACTCTGTAGTCCCAGCCGTCTTCCTGGCCCGGAGAGCAGAGCCCTTCCCGAGGGGGGTCGGGGAATTTCAAATCCATGGTCTGCGATTGTTCCACACACTTTCTAGCAACTCACACCCAGAGCAGCCCCAGGCCCAGCCCTTGGAAAGTTCTGATCATTTCATCTGGGTCTGCTGTAGTCCAAGGGCCCCGGGGGGTGACCATGCTGGCTGATAGTTTGAAACATGGAAGAGTAAACCACAGAAAGCTCTGAGCGCAGCATGGTCAGCACCTGGCTAACCTGAGTTAGCGTCTTTGGGCCAGAATCCCCGTGACAGCAGAGATCACACAGATCCGGCCCTGCCCGCCGCAGAACCCCAGGTCTGGCTTGTTGTAACTTTTCAAGTCATCAAGAAGAGAAGGGAGTGAGGGAGAGGGCTGGAAGCAGAGAAAGTCCTGAGGGATTCTAGAGAGAAGCCTCCATCTCCTTCAACATACTAGTTTGGAGTATATCCAAGACATTGCCGGCTGCCGAACTGTCCCGGCAGAAGTTGGTTCCAGGTACACGGACGAGGACTGGTCGCAGACGCTCATGACGGTCAATGAGTTCATCAGCAGAGCCCAGGAGACCCAGGCCGGCTGGGCTGTGGCTATGGTTGGGGGGACTGGCAGCCAGCCTCCCGCATGCTCCACCCCCAGTGGCCCTTCCAGAGCCTGCGCTACCTCCTAAGAAGGCCTGGAACCTTGTGGAGCCCAGTTTGTAAGGCACCGATCTTTCCATCCGTCTGATGGCAGAGATGTTCACAAAATGATCATCTCTGGGGAATGCAGCTGGGATGTAGGAATGGGTGCTCACAGTTGTGCTGGAAAGTCAGTACGTGGTTAATTTTGGGAAAATAAGCTGGCAGAAGCTACTAGAATTTAAAATGCAGACACTCCTTGACTCAGTTGTTCTATTTTTGGGAGGACATAAATATAAGGACCAGAATATTAGGCTGTTTATGGAAACACTGGCTAAATAACCTGACTGTCCACCAGCAGGGGGTGATTGAATTCATGGGGTACCCTGCCTATAAAACATGTATCCGTCAAAAAAAAAAAAAAAATGAGGCAGATCTGTACGTACTCACCTGAGGAGATACTCGTGAGGTTGTCATTAAATGAAACGGATTTCCAAGTAATACATATGATACGATTCTATTTTTATTTATAAAAGAAATCCTCATGGGTGTACAGCCTCTTCGTTTTCATGGGGGGAAACTGAGCCTGGGGCATCCCTACAGAGGCGGCCCAGCGCTGCCCGCAAGAGGGAGAGCATCGCTGATGTTTGCCCCTGGGGCACAGAGGGGCCCAAGAGGGACGGGACGCAGTGCACCGCTCTTGCCAGCTGGCTGCCCGTGGCTGGGGCACACCCAGTGCTGAGAGTGAGCGGAACAGCGCCCGGAGGGTGCTCCTTACGGCTAACCAGGCTTTTTCTGTGTCGCTTCCGGTTTTCCTTCCACGGATTAGTCAAAGGACGTCGGGTACCTTGCGCAGCACCAGCTCTTTGACCAGGTAAGTCTGAGACCACGCTCCTCTGTCCTTGATCCTGCCACCTTCTCCCACCTCCCCTCATGGGCTCTGAGCCCCAGAGGGCCGGAAAGGCTCTAGCAGCCTCTTGGGCCACCCACGGGGGTGGCGCCCGTGTCCCCCTCACCAGAGGGCAGCAGCTGGCGAGCGGGAGACTGGGCGTGCCGACCCCGGGGCCCCAAGCCTGGGATGGGGGGGGTGAGGAGCCCACGGCGTCGGAGGGAGGTGGCCCCAGCGAAGTGGGAGCAGGTGTGGTCGGACATGGAGGATTGGGTCCTGGGGAGCCGAGTGAGGGCGGCAGGCTCTGACCCGACCCGGAAAGAGCAGGTCACTGCTGTCCTTGACCGTGGGTTTTCCGGGGGTGTTCCCGGCACCGTCCTTAGTCCATCTCACTTGTCAGCTCTCGAGGCCATCTCCCCCTGGCTGGGCCTGTGCACTCCTGGCAGGGGTCGGGTTCGGTTCCTCTGGGTCCCCAGCCCTGGTTGGCCAGACTGAAGACCCTCAGGACAGACTGCTTGAAGGCTGCAGGCGGAGGGGTTCTCGGGCTGGGGCTGAGAGGAGGAGCGGTGCCCAGCCAGGCCGGAGGCAGGAGGACATTGCAGGGAGAGGCGCCTCATGCACCAAGGCTCAGGGGTGCACTCTGGAGCAGGCCCCCTGTGCTGGTGCGTCCACCTGCCTGAGAGGGCGTATCCAGAAGAGCAGAGCGAGAAGGCAAAGAGGGAGGCTGGGCCCCAGCTGGGCAAGCCTTGAAGGTCAGACCAAGAACTTGGATTTATCTGCAAGGCAGCGGGGAGCCCTGGGAGGTTTCTGAGCAGTAGGGTCCCAGTAAGAGGAGGTATTCCGGGGAGATCCATCAGGAGAGCCCAGGGTGGGGGCGGGGCAGAAGTCCTGCTCCGGCTCTCTCCATCACCGTCACCAGTCAGCCCTAAGAAGGGAGCATGACAGGGTGGCCCCACCAGTGCTCCCAGAGCTGACAGAAATGCAGGATGGCTCCCAGCCCCCACCCCAGCAGCGCGTGTCCCGTGCACCTGTCACCCGGCGCCCCGAGCACACGGTGAGCAGGGGGGCTCACTCAAGACGCGCTGGCGGGACCCGGGGGGCTGCCTGGCTGCGGGGAAGTGAGAAAGTGAGGATGCGCAGCGGACAGAGGGAGCTCTGCTCTGGTGAGGACAGGAGATGCCCCAGAAGATGAACAGCGCTTGTGCGTGGTCACACAGTGTGCGGTTTTTCCTATTCTCTGCAGTTTGCAAAGCATCTAGAACGAGCCCGTATGCTCATCATCATGAGGAAAAATAGACGTTATTTTTAAATGTAGACACAACGAGGGAACAAAGTGAAGTGGAACCTGATGGCCTTCCGAGTTTTCAGAGCCATCTGGTTAGGCTGAAACAACCTGACAGCTTATCCTGGGGAGGTCATTGAACAGTTTCCTTCTGTCCACCCCCCTGCCCTGCCCCCCCACTCACTTCACTCTGTCCTGGGAGCGGGGGGCCGGAATGCTGCCCTGGGCCTGGGCTTCCTGTGAGCCCCTCTGCACCCTGCTCTGGGCCCGGCCCTGGGGGGACAGGGTAAGGAAGAGCTGCCCCTCCCGCCCCAGTGGACCTGAAATCCAAGTACATCAGCTGGTGATGAGCGCCCCCAGGAGAAGAACAGGCAGCCTTGTGGCGGTGGCTCCAGGGAGCCAAGGGGCAGGGAAGGCGTCTCCAGGAGATGAGACTTCAGTGGCGACCTCAAAGACGAGCAGCCTCCAGCCACGGGCGGATGTTTTGCTCATGTTTTTTATTGGGTCGTTTGTCTTTTGAGTGTTAGGAGTCCTCTGTATACGTTCTGGGTTTAAGCTAGTTGTCTAGTGTAAGTGCTGTATTTGATGCCAATCCTTAACTTTCTTCTTTTGTCTAAAAGGAGACGAGGGGGACATGCCAGCTAAGGGGGCAGCAGGAGCGGACTTGCCCCTTGAGCGGGGCTGGAGCCAAGTGCCTGGGGGGAGGGGGGGAAGCAGCAGGTGGGGCTGGAAGAGGAAGGATGGTCTTTTCCATGCCTGGGGCCGCGTGGGAGGGTTGGGGGCCTTCTCAGATGGCCGAGGCCCCGTCCTGGAGGGGAATGGAAGGTGGGCGGGTGGGGCAGCGGGGAGACCCCCAGGAAGCTGCTGCCGTAGTCCAGGGGGAGCTGATGCCCGGGGAAGCGGACGGGTTCCAGATTGGTGCCAGCTGCCGGCACCTGCACACAGGTGGCTGGGTGAGGCCGAGGGAAAGGGAGCAGTCAAGGAAAACTCCAGACTTGAGACCCAAGTGCCCAGTCAGTGGAGCCAAGGGATCCAGGAGGGACTTCGCTGGTGTCTCGGCCAGGCTACAGACACTGTGGTGGGGCCCAGCAGGAATGCCTGGGCAGGGCAGCACCTGGCCTGGGTGGGGATGGGGGGTTATGCCCTGAAGGGGTTGGATCTGACTGAGTCAGTCAGGGCCCGAACCACAGCCAAGGTCTGCCGGGTCTGCCCCTGGGCTGGGGCTACTCTCAGTGCCTGTCCTGACACGGGACCCAGGTCCAGTTGGGGCTGTCCCAGCCCCCAGGAGCCTACGCACGGGCTGGGTGGGCTGCGCTCTCTTTCCCAGGCCTCCCGAATTAGGACCCGACCCAGAAAGAGCAGGTCACTGCTGTCCTTGACCGTGGGTTTTCCGGGGGGGTTCCCGGCACCATCCTTAGCCCATCTCAGTTGGGCTCCTGCCCTCTCCGAAGGAAAGGGGGAGTCTAGCGAGCAGGCCCCTACCGTGCCATCCCAAGTGACCAGCCTGTCCCCTGACCTTGTTCACACTTCCCGGGGGCCCTGTGAAGCCACAGGTAAACTTGCCTCCCTGTCCTAGGGCAGCCATTTTCGATTTTACTAGAACAAGAAGCAGTTTTAGAAGCAGAAGGCAAAGTGCCCAATTGTTTTTAAGACGAACCAAGACCTTGAAGACATTTTGCCTTTTGGAAGGCCACCTGGATCTTTCTCTCGGGTCCCCAGAGGTGTGTTTTCACCTCTTCTGCCCAGAGTGCCACCTGGCAGGCCCCCGCACTGCTTTGTGGGGCCTTCTCTGTCTCCACGAAGCTCAGTGGCTCCCACCTGAAACCTCTTGCCCAAAAACCTCTTACTGACTTTTCTCCCAGGGGCCCCAGGTTGTGGGAGATTGTGGCCACCACGCTAGGCCTCCCTTTAATTATTGGTCACATGGTGGGAGCATTCCTTCTCTGGGGGGGGGGGGGGTCTCTGAATCCGTGGCCAGTGGCTCTCATTACACCATTTGACCAACCAGTCACAGTCCAGAAACCCTGATGATATCATCAGGGACCAGTCCGCTTCCGAGCGTCCCAGCGGGAAGCAGCTGTGTGTGCCGGAGCCTGGTGGTGATGGAGAAGCAGGAGGTTCCCAGAGGCCTTTGGCAACTCCTGCCACCCCCCACCTCGCTGGCCACCCCACGGGCCGACAGGACAGGGGACCCCAGACTGGGAACTTGTACGTTAGTCCAGAGCGGTGGACACAGCCGCATTTCTCTACTTCTGCACAGGCTGTTTGAGACAGAACAGCCTGAGGTCTCTGCAGGGAGAACATTCCAGCCATTCCCAAGGATCCATCAGTGGCTTCTTGGCCAGCACCCTGAACTTGGAGCAGCTATGACGGAAAGGTGGCGAAAGCCTGCCTGCAGCTGCCCCTTCAGAGCAGGGAGACGTCCCTCTCAAATACCTGTGGAAAGCAGCCGAGGGGTGCCCCCCACCGTCACCCATTAGGGACCAGACGTCGGTTTCTGTGGAATTTCCCTGAGCCGCCGAGCCACCTACCCTAGCAGCAGGCAGTCTTCGAGGCTTGGGGCTGCGTGGGGCCATGGGGACCTGGCCTCTGTGGGAAAGAACCGGCGTCTGACAGGCCTTCAGAAGGCCCGGCCGGGGCTGCACCCAGGGGAGCCGGCCCGCGGCCCCCTCCCCGGGGTGTCCGGACCCCTCACCAGCCCTGAGTGGGGGTGCTGGGGCCCCTCTGCTGGGTGCAGCCCCGGCGGACCCTCTGAAGGCCCGGCCAGGGAGCGGGGAGGACGCAGGGCTAGAAGCAAACTCCAGAGGGGACACCATGCTTGCTGTCTGAAAGCACCTCTTGTCGGCGGGTCAGGGACGGCGGCCGGGGCGGGGAGCCAACAGCGCCTCCCTTGTATCGAACTCATTTCTACATAGCGTCTGGTTTTTGCCCTTTGATTATTCATGTAGCTTATGTACCGGGATCCTTACTACGTTTCCTTGTTATTTGGTACGAGCTCTCCACACTAACCCTCGGGTACCACAGTGCAAAAGTTTCTCCCTTTATTGGCCTTTGGATTCGTGAACGTATTTAAAATGCATGCACGGTGACCGCTTTCTCCTTAGTTCATTTTGGGGAGTCTCCCTTTCCAGAGATTTGATAAATACCCAACCCCATTTTCTTTCTGTTTTTTTCTTTAATTTGATTTTCAAAAACGTAGCACTCTGTAGTACAAACATTGCGAGCTGGTGTATTTTTAAGTGCAAAGCAGTGCTATCAGGTTTTCAAAAAGGAAACGAAGATAAAATGCACATGACAGGGAAACAAATCTGGAAATAAAATTATATGTAACTCTTTTGTAATGATTATATATTTATTTTTTCTTTCTTTTTTTAAAAAATTTATGTATTTACTTGAGAGAGAGAGAGAGAGCTTGCATAGTGGGAGGGGCAGAGGGAGAGGGACAAGCAGACTCCATGCTGAGCACAGAGGCCAACATGGGGCCCGATCTCATGAGATCACAGCCTGAGGCGAAATCAGGAGTTGGACACTCAACCGACTGAGCCACCCAGGTGTCCCTATATATTAATTTCTTCAGTTGGTTTTTCAATTCCCCCACAGTAAAACACAGACGCAGTCGCGTTGTTAGGTAAAAAGGCAGTGTGTGTTTGGCCATCCTGTGAGATGGTCCGTTGACTTCAGGGGTGGTGCGTCCCTGGCCAGAGGCTCGACCTCCCACCTGTGCTCTGCCCTCACAGATCCCGGAGCTGAAGCGGGACATCAGCATCCCGGACTACTGCTGCCTGGGCGACGGGGAGGAGGAAGAGATCACCATTAATGCCTGGTTTGGTCCCCAAGGAACCGTGTCCCCCCTTCATCAGGACCCTCAGCAGAACTTTCTGGTCCAGGTGGGAGTTGGTCCAGGGCATTGGCCTTGTGCCTCCCCAGCCTGGCCCCGCGCAGCTGGCCACGTTACCCAGTTTTAAACACCAGAGAGAGGGGTGTGGACAAAAATGAAATCAGAAAGATGGTACCAGGCCCCTATGGGGCCCTCCCTCTGGCAGAGGCTGGTTCCAGGTGTGGGCCCGGGACCAGCAGCCCCCGGGATGGTGGCCACGTCACTCGGGCAGAGCAGGGCCGGGGTGCCGTCTCGGGACGGAGCAAGTGCCCTCACGCTGCGTGTCCTCTGCCTTCCCCTGCCACCCCCCTTCCATCAGAACCAGGCCAGGTTCCCCCTGCCAGCACCTCTCCCCAGACGAGGCGTGGCTTCCCGGCCACTGGATGGTGTGTCCTGAGACCCTGACCCAGACGGGGAGCGGGTGTGCTTACTGCAAGGGGAGGGGCACCTGTTGTGAAACCACCTTATTTTTTGCAGGCAGAGAGGTTTAACAGATGAGAACATTCTTCCAGCAGAGGCACTAGAGGGGCTGAGGGCTGGGTCCCGGAGCCGCTGCTTGGCGTGAACGCCAGCCCTGTCACCATCCAGCCTGGTGACGTTGGGCCACTTGGCTAGACTCTCTAGTTACCGATCCATAATATATCTGGAGGCTAAACTCATGCCTGGCCTGGAATGCGCGTGGCGGGGATGGGGCAGTCTGGGCGCAGGGAACAGCACGTGGAAGGGCGTGCAGAGGTGCGGGACGCTGGTGGGTTCAGGGACCTGCAGTCCGTGGGGGGCAGCCGTGGCGCTGGGGGCAGCAGCTGAGTGATGAGGCACTGTCTTCCCAGGTGATCGGCAGGAAGTACATCCGGCTGTATTCCCCGCAGGAGTCAGAGGCTTTATATCCGCACGAGACGCACCTTCTTCATAACACGAGCCAGGTGGGTGCTCGGGGACCCTGCGTGGTGCTGCAGATTCTCCCACCCGGCCCTGGAGAGCAGGCAGGTGACGGCTCGGGTCTTCTTCAGGTTGACGTGGAGAACCCCAAGCGGGAGAAGTTCCCCAGGTTTGCCGAGGCCCCGTTCCTGTCCTGCGTCCTGTCTCCCGGGGAGGTCCTCTTTATTCCGGCCCGGTACTGGCACTACGTGCGGGCTCTGGACTTGAGCTTCTCCGTCAGCTTCTGGTGGTCGTAGCCAGGGTGCGAGGGTCCGAGACGCCTCCCCGGCTCCACACCCGGCCTGTGCCGGAGCCTTTGCTGGAGACCGGGCTGGGCGCTGGCGGACACAGGGCGAGGGCGCGGCAAGGCGCACGCTCCAGGCCAGGTGCGTGCAGCAGAGGCAGGTGGGGCGGACCCCAGGAGGACGCCCCAGGCCGACACCTGCCTGGAGACCCTGGGCATCGTGAAGCCTGAGATGCTGGGGACAGGGGCTGGCAGTGTGCACGGCGGTAGGGGGTGGGCTCTGAGGTCGGCTGCCCGGATTCAGACCTGGCCCCTTGGCTTACTTGCTATGGCAGAGGTGGGACGGATACCTCACTGTGTGTGTGTGTCTCCATGGGGAAAACAGGGCAGCTCGAGCACCCACAATGAGAGTTCGAGAGGCAGCACGCGGACAGCGCCCCGGCAAATCCACGGGCGTTAGCTACCGTCTGATCTTAATAATTACTGTGATTGCCACCGACTTGTTTGTCATGACTGGCCTGACAGTACAGCCCCAACCCGCAGACTCTGGAGGTGGCGCTGGCCACGGGCGACAGTCCCTCTCGGCTTGCTCAGCCCAGCCCTGCCGGCAGCGGGGAGTCTGGGGAGGTTTCTGTTGTCATTATGCACACACAGCGCAGCCATGGCCATCTCCTAGCCTGCGTATTCAACCGTGCCCCCTCCCAGCAGCCAGTCCCCACACCATGAAACCACCCTCAGCGGTGCCCAGAAGCCCCCTCCTGCCCCGGTCTCATTCATTCCCCACTTGCAGAGAGAGCCTTCCGCCCAGGGGAGCAGGTGGCCCTGCAGGTCAGCTCCATGTCCCTGCAGCACCAGGGCCCACGGGCTCCAAGGCCCCAGGGAAGACTCTGGCGGGCCGGGAGCCAACAGGTGCAGCTCCAGCAGCCGCGGCCTGGCTAACACGCAGACCCTTGGGTAAGCGAGAGCAGAGGTGGGGCAGCGTCGGTGGGTGGCTGGAACCGTAGCCGCTCGCATCCTCTGCAAGTGGGCCAGGGCCTTTGAGCTTGATCACGCAGGGCTTGGGCCCCCAAGTTGGGGGCAGGGAGACCATCAGTATATGCGTGGAGCCAGCGGGCTGTTGGAGGGGTGGGGCAGGGAGGCAGCGGGGCTGAGGTGGAGTGAGGTGGGGGCGTGGCGGGGGCACGCAGGGCAGAGGCAAAGGCCAGCTACTTGGGAGTGAAACGAGGGCTCTCTGCGGAGACTGCTTGTCCCCCATCTGGCGCTATTAATAGTTCTTTGCCTAATCCGTCAGATGAAAAACTTACCCAAATATCCGCGCCACTGAAGGTAGCAGGGCAGTAGGAAGGCCACTGCGTCTGGCACGCTGGCCATCAGGGATGAGTGGGCCATAACTCGGGGGCCCGCCTGCATCACCCACAGGCCCCCCACCCGAGGGCAGCTGTAGCCTCTACGATCCGTCTCTCCCGGCTGGCGGCCCCGCTCCTGCTCCGAGCGGCCGAGAGGACACGGGCATTAAAACGGGATGCGGGGGCCTGGCTGCCTGCAGCAACTGTCCCTTGTCAGGTGGCAAGACGGGGCAGAAGCCAATCTTTATGTGCCCTCTGGGTGGGGCTCCAAGGCCACCGGCAACAGCAGGGCCGGAGGGCTGGCCTTGGCTCTGAGCAGCGCGGACTCGGGTCCTCATGGAAGACAGGCGCCCACCGGCTGCCCGCCGAGCTGATGAGGGGTGAGCCCAGGGCCGCCGTCCCCCACCCGCCTGAGCTGCAGAGGCCAGCCCGGGGCTGGTCCAACGCAGGGACGCAAGGCCTCGAGCCAGATGCGGCCCTGTCCCAGCGTCCGGACGGAGGGACAGTGCAGTAAGGTGTGGATTGTGGCGAGGCCTGTGAAGGGACTGCGACGGGGGTACTGGGGATGGGACTTAGCACAGACGACATCTGAGTAGCCAGAATGACCAGGAGGCCGCAACTGGCCACGAGGTTTGAGGAGGCGCTCCCAGCAGCAGGTGCAACAGCCCTGGGGCAGGAAGGCTCAGGTGCTAGGGGAGAGGGAGGGAGCCCGTGCAGCCGGAGCACGGGGGGGGGGGTTACTGCATCTGCAGGGGGAGCCAGGTCTGCGAGCTGCTGTGAGAAGGGCCGGCGGGCTGGCAGGGCGAGCCCGGAAAGTGGAACAGCTGTCACCTGTCCCATTGGTAGCTCCCGGAGTGACCAAGTCAGGAGTGTCGACAGGGAGCAGAGAGGCGGGCAACGGCCTGATCCGCAAAGCCGCGAGCGCCAGACATGGTCTTCAGAATTGTGTATGAGGTTTTGTCGGGTGCTGTCAAGGAGTCCTTGGGAAGTTCACATTGGGATCAACACCGGGAGACTGAGAGCCGGGGGGCCTGTGTCCCCCGGGGCCAGGGGCTCAGAGCATCTGGAGTCACAGCTAGGACTCGCCTGGACCTGTGTGGTACGACACTCCCCCTCCTCGGACTGTGGGAAGCCCCCGGGCCCCCCCAAGCCCCAGGGTCCATCCTTTCTCCACTGTTTTTCCTGCCTTCCTGTCATCTCTGCAGATTTCCTTGTACCCTTCCAAGAAAGCCCTTCTCTGCTTAAGCTAGTGAGGATGCTTTCCGTTGCCTGCCTGACACCAGACCTCCCTACACGGTCGGGGGGTACCCATGGGGCTCTATTGGGGGGCTGCTGTTTGCCTCCAGAGGGCTGTGCCGGGATCCCAGCCTGGCTCCCAGAGGCTCCGTTGGAAGCATCCTCACTGCCTGGGAGCTGGGCGATGAGGAGACCCAGCTGAGGCTGGGAGGGTGAGCCTCTCACCAGCCGGCGCCATTTGTCCACCACGTCATAGATGCTAGATGTCCCCTGTGCACCGGGCTTGTGGAACAGATGACGGGTGGAGGCCACCTGCCCATTTGGTGCCAAGTTCATTCCCCGTTTGCCTGATAAGAACATCCCATTATCTTTGGGAGAGAACTCTGGCTCAGAGGCAAGCCCCGATTTGCCAGTCCCAACTGGACTGCCCTATCCCGTCCCCACCTCTGTAAGTATCCAGAGTGCAGCTGGGACCACGAGGGTGTTTGCTGGGGCAGGCAAGCCAGTTAATGGGACGCGCCCTCTTCCTCCCAGCACGGGCGCAGGGGCGTGTGAGGCCTGGAAGGATGGCTAGCAGGAAGAAAGTGGCTAGATTTTCTGGGAGACTGTAAGCACAAGGCCAGCTCAATGAAAGTTAGCAGAGGCAGCGATGTAGATTCTTGGTGACATCACAGGACCCACCAGGTCAAGCCTCTCCTGAAGGACCCCGTCTGGCCAAGTCCTTCCTTGTTTAGCCACATTGGGCTGGGCTGACTGATACCGGGGTGGAAGAGACAAGGAGACAGGAGTCAGAAGTGTGGCAGGTGTGATGAGCAGGGATGTGGGGGAAAACAGGGCTGGACCGAGGGCTGGAAACCGTGACAAAATCCGAAGAGCGGCTGGGGAGCAGGCCAGTGGCGGGAAACGAGGGAAATTGCGCAGGCCCAGGGCACAATGCATGCAGGGGCTCAGGGGCCAGGAACAGAGGGCGCTTTCAGGAGGAAAAGAAAGGCCATGTGGGGCAAAGCGGGTCCAGAGAGGTGGTGAGATGGGCCTCAGCGCCGGCCCATGAATCCTCAGTCTGCACCCGGGCCCCGGGCCAGCGGGGCCATCAGGTCTCAGGTGGGCGTGCCGCGCGGATGGCCGCGGTGGAAGAGCCTGGAGCAGGCGGGCTGGCTGTGGCCAGGAGCCTTGCCGGCAGAGGGGGCAGGGGGCCTGGACAGGGTTCGATGGCCGGTGAGCCAGGGAGGAGGGGACATCTAGGCCGACAGGACGGCTGCTGGTGGCACTGCTCTTCACCAGGCAGGGGCGGAGGTACCCAGTGAGGAGAGCAGCCTCCAGCTCGTCAGGCAAACTGCACCTTGGGCCAGAGAGGGGTCCGGGCTGTGAGGGGGCTGGGGAGGGCTGGGCCGGCCAGTGTTGATGGCACAAGTGACCCAAGCCGGGGGCTGAGGCTGAGCCACTGGGGGGGTGTCATGCAGGAGGAGCTCTGGCAGCTTCCCCAGCGGGGACCCAAGCCAAGGGGTTCTCCGTTATCTGGGAGCCACCCCGGGAAGCCTCCTAGGGGGCGCACAACCACAGACCGAGGCTGCAGCGAGGACTCCTTAGTAATGTTTATTCCAAACCTCACGAGCGACCACAAAGCAGACGGGGGTTCAGGTGCAACGTGAAGCACTGCCTCCCAAACAGGGCCCGCTGGCTGTCCCCGAAGGCAGCGAGCCCCATACCAGCGCACCAGCTAGTGCTGCCTGGACCGCAGGGATCTCTTGTTGGCCCTGGAGGTACCAGCCTCCCGCTCCTTCTCGGGATCGAAGACCTCTGCACATGGAAAAGGCCAGAAGGTACCGTGAGCGGCAGCGCCAGGCACGCACATGACAGCAGCTCAAGACCGCGGCTACGGGTCGCCTGCCGAGGGCTCTGTCCTCGCCCCCCCCCCACCGTAGCCAGAAAGGGGGGGTCACCTCCCGTCCCCAGACAGCTGCCGGGAGGCGGGTGTGGCCTTGTCTAGACCTGTCTGGTCTAGACACGTGACCTAAAGGTTCTCCTGGGTCCTAAGAGCCCTTGGCAGTGTGCGAGCAGTAAGGCCTCCACGTACTGCAGGAGCTGCTTCAGCGCGTGGGTTCGGGTCCTGCTCACACAGACCTGCACACGTGGAGCCCTCGCCTGAGTGCTCCCCGCCCCCAGGTGTCCCCTCAGTCCTGCCACCCAGCCCCTCCCAGAGGCCGGGGCACAACCCCCGAGCCCCACGGTGATGTGAACCTGGTATCTCGTGGGGCCAGTAGTCATTACAATGGGGACAGCGAGGCTCGGGGCTGGACTGAAAATACTTTGCCGTGCAAGGTAAGTGCATCCTGATGCCACACGTCTCGCAGCTTTGACCCTGAAACCAGAAAGGCAATAGCCGTGGAGCCTCGCACACACCTCCATGTTCACAAACCTTCCGTAAATGGCCAGGAAAACGTCCAACAGGCTCCATGGTCTTGTCTTCCAGGCCCCAGATGAATAAGGATAATCCCAAAGCCCTCAGCACAAGGGCTTGTAGGAACTGTTATTAAAAAATTCTGAGAAATGAACGTGGGTGGAGGACACTCAAAACTCTAACAGTGGGACGCTAGGGTGGCTCCATCGGTTAAGCGGCCGCCTTCAGCTCAGATCATGATCTCGGGGTCCTGGGATCGAGTCCCAGGTCGGGTCCCTGCTCAGTGGGAAGCCTGCTTCTCCCTCTCCCTCTGCCCCTACCCACTCCCCCTCCCCACACTCTTTCTCAAATAAAAATCTTATACCAAAACTCTACCGGCCAGAGCGTGGTGGTGACGGGCCAGGCCCCGCAGCACAGCCAGGCGGCCTCGGAAACCCGGGCTCCCGGTGCACGTGGGCGCTGTGAGTGTGCAGGGCCTGTGCGCACGACTACAGCCTTTCGGAAGGCTATTTGGCAACG